AGACATACACAGACCAACTTCTGTCTCTGTGTAAGACCTTTTTAGGCATCAAACCTTAATTAAATAGTTAAAGCATTGCTTCAAGTGCAAAAGGATCTTCCCTTTGAAGATTCTCCTCACTCTACCTCCATGAACATGGTGTAAAGTTCCCAGTGTCCCACTTTAAAACTTAATTCTACAATTTTGCAACCATTTTGCATACCCCTAGGTATTTTCTGGAATTTTAGTAACACAAGTTTGCCTTCCTACAGTCATTTAAATAGTAATATAATGATTAAGAGATATCCCTAATGTCTGGGTTCAAATCCTGACCAATATTTCTGTCCACATGGCATAACAGAATCCCAGATGCCTGATCTTTATTATGTGTTGAAGTGTCAGAACTGAAGCTCTGGGATTCAAGTTTGATACATGAGTACATTCACGTTAAAATATATTTTAGAGTATAAAATGCATTCCACTATCTTGGTAGAAAAGTTGAGACATTTCTGTAGAACCCGCTAGCCTGTGCCAAACATAGGAACCAACTCGTTTTTCAACCCTTTCTGAAGAAGTAAATTTCTTAACATAGCGAGTACTTTGAAATTAAAGGAAAAAAATCTTAAGATATTTGTAGAACTCAAAATGTGTTAAAGGCCTCTTTATTTTGACAAGCCACAAGTATGTTTCAACAAGGATACACTACAGGTATACTACCTATACCTGAGAATAGGTGAAAAATCCATAGTTATCTAGCTATTACTCAGAAGTCAAGGCATTTTTCCCTGCAAGAAATTACTAAGCAAAAAAATCTTGCCTCACTTGAACATGTTCTTTTGCAAGCAAAGCTACCAACCACCTGTAGCTCCAATTTCCTAAAACCTGCAATATTCAGCACAAAGAGTTATCACTAGCATATAAACCTCACACTAAAATTCCATAGAAGGCTTGGCATATTATAGTATGTAGAACTAGACTGCCACATTGGCTCTATGCAAGCTGCAGACACGTGAAGCAGGGGGAGATGAATCAACTGTGTGTGTCAAAGTAAACAGGGGAGTAACAGCAGTAACATTGACAGCATGAGACAGCCACAGAAAGAGACCATCTGTACAGTCAAATGGCATGGTAATCGGGGGGAAGGGTGGATGTGGTGAGCCACAGACTTCATAGGGCATCATCCAAGAAGCAGTAGGAAATATTTTGATCTAAGCATGATTAGTGTTGTGGTCCATGTACACACACGATATTCTGTGAATGGTCTTCTCTGATCTTTCCATGGGCAGTATTTAGCTTGAACAAAGGTGGTTACAGCTTTGCTAGACAACAGAAAAACTGCCTGTAAGCATTAATGATAAGCAGACTAATATATTTCCCCATCACAGGAGTAAGCAAAGATTTTCAATATGGTTGACTAGAAAAGTCTTTGTTAAAATCCACAGAATAAAAAAGGACCCAAATGCAGAGACAAAGCCCTGGTCCTGAAGCAGCCCAAGCTCTGAAATATGCAATCTATCACGTAAGAGACAGAAAAGATCAGCCATTAATTAACATCCAAATTAAAGCTTTTCAAGTAAGGGTCAAAACTTCCTTTGTTTTGACATTTAAATCACCAGCAATGTACTCCCCAGCTTAGTATGCACAACACATCACCTAACACTTTTATGTTAATTGCCTCGATTTTTCAAGTGCACTATTTGATTCGTTGTCAATTAAAAATACCCCCCAAAGCCAAGACTCATGTATGTTAAATACAAACATGATTAATGTAAAACAATTACATTTCCAGATTTGATGAGTCTGATTAGAAACTTTCCATCAGCCTGGCATGACAGAGCATTGTCACTACCAATGACCTGTCACCCTTGCCAAAGCCAAGCTCCTCAACAGGGACACATTTCATGGCCACAAGTATCTCAGAAAGGTGTAAAACCTGTAATTAAATGCTGTCAATTATCACTATCAAGAACATAGCAACCTTTATCATCTTCTCTCTTTGATTGTAGAAGGTAGTCCCAGGTCTAAACTAAAAACAAAGGCAAACAAACCCAAAACAAACACAAAAATCCAACCTATATGGAAGAAAAAATCCAGTAGCACAATTGCTGCTTGAAACAATAATTAAGTGGGCAGACCCTCTAGTATTTCCAAAAAGTGACTCTAGGAATCCTCTCTCTCACCTCATCAAGGGAGAACCTGGTTTAAGAAAACTGCACTTGGGGAAAAGAATTGTGCAGACCAGAAGTAGAAGAGCAATGCCTGAATTCGTTTATAACTTATGTCTTCTATGGCCTTAAGGAGATAAAAGGCTCTGATGAGGGGAGGAAATAAGAGAGTCAAAAACAGGAAAAACAAATTTCACAATTACGAAAAGAAAATGGTCCAAGTCTGAAGGTTGCTGTTAAGTGAGATGCAAGAATAAAGAAAGAAACAAAAACAAACAAACAAACAAAAAAAACAACCAACCAAATAAACAAACAAACAACTACAGTTCGACCTGAGCAGAATGAGATAAAAAGCTAAGAAATAGCAACAGAATTCCAGTGAAACTCTTAGGAGAGAGGGGATGCATAAACAACTGGACTGGTGTAGTTTTTATGGCCAACTTATAAGTAGGCTTTGATAAGAATTGATACAAATCTGAATAACAGATTCAATAAAATTCTATACCCTCAGTTTAAGCTTTGCTTCCTTCTTCCCATTGGTAAATGTAAAATATAATTACCATTGCCACATGTAGAAAGAATAAATACATAAGAACCAGCTGCAATCCACATTTAATTGCAAGGGAGATATTAGCAAGGAAATGTACTGTAGGACCTTGTTTAGATTGAGAAATAATAAAAAAAAAGAGAGACTGTTTTATTGCACTTCAGAAAAGAATTAAAGACTCCTTGGCTTATCGAGGACTACAAAAACAATCACTGCTATAGCCCTGCTTTGCATATTTGCTCTATTAATTTACATAGCCCTAGTAAGCCTCACATACCAATGCAACTGCTAAATTACACCACTCTTGGGTAATGGGCATAAAAAGATGCAAGAGCATGTGAAGTGTATTCAAACAGACAATTAAAAATATCAATTCTGTTGACAGCTGAAATGAAGAAACTGTGCAGAGGTTTAATGCTGCTGCACGAAGGACACGCTGCTCGTGAGTGATTGAATTAGCTGGGCTCGTGCATCGACAGTCTGCCTTTGTCCAACATTACACATTAGGTCAATTTAGTGTCTGCTTATTAAAATAATTTAATTCCGAAGACTGTTTCCAGACATTTCTAAGTCTCCTCTTGCTTTTCTCTCCTCCTCACATTAATGATGGCATCTTAATTACCGCACTGGTTTCACACCAGTGCAATTTGCTGGGTCACTGCAGAGCAGTCCAGTCAACTATGGCTTAAACTCATCCTGTAGGTGTTTGGGAGGACAAGCACAAATCAGCAGGAGACCTGGCCAGACGTGCTACAGTCTCAAAGTTCCAAAGCAACCAAAGAATATGACAAAGGTTATTTTTTTATTCAACTTAACACTAACTGGTGCATATTTTACCTTTACTTTACATAGGCTTTCAACTTTACATGCTTATTAAATTCATCGTACTTGTACCCTATGAATTTCTACTTTTAACCATGTAGGAATGATGTGTTCATCAACTCTTTAAAATAAGAATTTCAAATAAACCAATATTGCCTGAAGAAATTAGAAGTTTGGAATGCCTCTTCTAAATTGAACAAGAATCTCACAGCTCTGTGAATAGGATTATGCTTATGTTCTAGATTTCCTCTGAAAATGTAACTCAGACTAAGTAACTTGTCAAAACACAGACTAATAAAGTTATTCTAAAGGTTTATTTTAGAATCTTTTAAAGGCTGAATAACTGAAGTTTAAGGAAGTCTTTTCAATAGATTCTGGCAACTAATACTGACATTTCTTTGGGAAAGGTTAGTGCTATTTTAAAACGAGTGTGCAGAGATTACACCTTCACCCAAACATAACAGCAGAACTACACCAATATGCAGTAGTAATACCTAGGCAGAACTGAGACAGCAAATGTGCTTATTTAATGAGTAATATTGTTTTGCATTTCTTGGTTTCACTAAACTATCACCTTGTATCATGTTGTAGGATCTAGGTACTGGATGCAGGTGACAAGCACTACTGTCTCATGCTGCATACCTACAAGAATTCCTGGTTCAACAGCAAGCAACCAAGTGTTCCAAAGAAACTATTAGTAGCACGTATCACATGTAAAAATGCTGGTGTGTTTGGAAGTTATGAAAATGGCAGCATTTAATAGCTTTCAAAATCATTGACCACTGGATAAAGTACTGCCATAGTTTGACGGCCTTGAAGTCCCAAAACCACACAATTGAAGGAACAAGTTCTAACACCTGCTCCTTAAAGTGTTGGAAAGACCACCAGACTGAAAGACAGCTAAATCTCCTTCACTTTAACACCAGATTGGCTTTTATCATGTGACATCTGATCATGAGAAATATTACTGAATACCCCAGTTGTACAACACATGTAGTAATGATCTGCCATCACTGATGACCACAGACTTCATCCTGCCTCCTCTGAATTTCATGTAGAGATTTAACCTTGCCCCAGCTTCGAATGAAACTGCTAAGACATAAGTTTCTAGATCCGAGTTGCAGAGATGAGTCAATAGTGAAAAGCTGATAGGGCAAGCCTCGATTTCCAAGATTGTAGGAAAGACTATTAAAAAAAAACCAAAACACCTCAGAGTAAGTGTTCTTTTTAGGAAGTGGATGATTCCAGGTTTTCACAATATTCATAATGCCCTAAATGATTATACATAGTACTTCACCATCTCTGATACATGAAACAGTGTAAAGTCTGTAGAGACACAGGATTAGTGCAGAGCAACCCAGACAGAATCATAGCAACATTCAAAATCTTATGTACAAACAAAAAGCTTTCTGATAAACGGCCGGAATGATACAAACACAGAAGAAATTCTCATTTTTGCACAGTAGTAATATAGGGAAATAACATACGGTTCAGAACTGGCTGATCCTCTCTGAATTCAAATGGCTGTTCAATATTAAAAACCTTTTGCTGGAATCCAGGGACACATTCTATATCTTCTGCACATGCAAGCAGCAGAACCTGAAGGAAAAAAAAGGAAACAGACTTTTAACATCTACTCATTCACCCATCATCCCGGCTTCCGGGAATGATGCTGTATTTAGGCTCAATGCTCATAAAACCAAACATCAGGCTCCATGCTGATAAAGCAAAGTATCCATCACATTACATTTCCTCTTCAAATCTTGTTAACCAATTTTTAATGTAAGATTTTTTGATTTTACCTGGCTGGCATGGAAATTACAGAACAGTAGCTTTCAAGGTCAGATTCAGTTCAGATTATTGATAAAGGATATTATTTATCTTTGTGAAAACGTAGGATGTAATATTGCTCCTTGAAATCATAGGTGAATACAGCTAGGCTTAAATATATGTTAAAATTAAGAAGTTTTTAAGTTGATTTAAATTGATAAATTAGGGTCTGCAAACCTAGTTTCAGACAACTGATTATGACGTTACAGAAGGAACTCTTCATTCAAGGGTCAAGTCACCACAGAAACTCCTCTGTAAAAAAAAAATCCTTGCTAACAAAGGCAAACTGTTGCCTTCTTTTATCTTCCCTTCTGAGTCATTGTTCTCTATTTTCTCTGTAATAAAAAGCTTGTTTACACCATAGGAAGACTTAAAATGAAACGTGTGCATCATAGTGGAGGTGGATCTGAGGGTTAAAGTTGAATACAGTTTGTGTCACTATTAGTATGTGGTCAAAGTTCCCTGTCACCACAGAAACACCTTAACAATAGAGGAAGCTTAAAAGCAAAATAAAATTGCTTGAAAATAGGTACAATGCTAATCTCTGTCTCTGAAGGCTTCTGTTCTATCCCTGAATAGAGAAAACAACCTGAAAGGCTATTTTTCTTGGCAGCTTTTAAATGAGAGCATGGAGGTTAAAATGTCCAAGAAAGAGGCAGCAAGAAAAAATTTACTAAAAGGTTTAAAAGGTTAAAGAGTGAGGCAAAAGGAAGCAAATTGAAGAGTAGGAAAAGCCCAATCTGTATTTTTCAACCTATATATGCGTAACTACATTTTCAAGGTACTTGCTGCTTCAGAACCTCCAAAGATGCTTTTCGAAACCAGACTTCCAGCTGGTGTACAGAGTACTCTGATCTCAAAGCTATTATGGCCAATCTGCTGCTTGTTGGATAGCCAAAAAAAAAAAACAAGCACAGAGGGCACACGTAGCAACCAAGAAGCAAATGATCAAACAGTGGTTCTGAATGACATAGGCTCTAAAATTCAAGTGGCCCTGCTCAAATAGGTCTATTTACTCAAGACATTCTCAACACATGATTATAACATTGTAAACAAAGCTCTTCAGGTGTAAAGTGAGGGCAGTTTCTCCCCTATGCCACAAGGGTGAATGCTGAAGGCTCCTTTCTCCTTCACAAGCTCAGGTGACAAACTATATTCTCACTTCTCCCAGCTCAGTAGCAGTATCTCAAGTCAGTTCTACTCCATCACATTATCACCTAGGTGTGCTGATCCTGATCTGGAGACATCCTGCAAAATATTAACATCTGTGTGTTTCCCTCTTAACCACCACTTGTAGTCCGTTTACTAAATCAGAGCAACCCAGGATCTGCTCTCCCCCTTCATGTACTTCACACTCATTTTAAGTTTTATGTGGTCCTATTTATAAAAACCCACCGCAGCAATAAAGACACCCCACCTGGTCTGCATCAGTTCATCTTGAAACCAACTGCTACATCATTTGTTTCATGTCGCTGACATTTGCTATAAAAGCTTGGCTAGAAGTGCTAGCAGACTGTGAGAAACAGCCATAATATTTCATGACAATTAAGCTGGTGGTACTTAAATACAGCAGATGGATGCCTTTGCCATGCAGCCTGACCTGCTCCATGTTTGTCCCTTTGAAGGCTTATCCAAGAAAGAAGAGAAAGACTTAAAGACAACAAGCAAGGTATAATATACTTGACCATATTGCCTTTCTTACAAAGGCTTAAAAAACACACGTGCCTAATGCCTCATTCAGTTATTGATGCTGATATTATATTGATTTTATTGAAGATTCTGGACTCGGCAGAGACTGAGAATTGGATGCCTCCTTTTGATCTTCCAGGGTGAGATATCTGCAGAAGTGAATCAACATATTCAGCACCTGCCCTCAAAACTGTGCCTAAAACTTGATTACTGCTTATAAAATAATACCCTTATATGCATTTAAATGGTCACACACACAAAGACACACATGCATCTTCTACACACTTCTTCTGTGTGCCCAGGTGCATTTTTAAAGTACCTGTCTTTCTGACTCATGGTGTTGATGAAAGAATATGCATAAAAATGCAATCACAGCAGAAGGAAAATTCTTCTGATCTCAAGATGCAAGCAACAACTGAAACAGTTATATAACAGCTCCACACCAGAAAAATAGCTCAAGCAATATATGCTGAAACTTAACTACAAACAACTCTTCCCATATAGGATTAACACAACAACTAAGAGGCAAATCATGTTCAGACTCCTCAGCTACTGGCATCTTAAAGTTGAAACTCTTGTCTTGTGGAGGTATAAATAAAGAGCTTGCTTTGGACATCATCTGTGTCACTGCTTAGAGAAGGGAGTATGTCTACTTTATTGGATTTGTGACAGTGTAAGTTGACTTTGAAATCTGGGCAATCTAAATAGGTCATGAGTTAACTTCTGTAAGCCTGGTAAAGAAGTCTCATATAATACAGACATAGCAAACAGAAAATGACCTTTACTCCCTTTGAAATAATTACAAGACTCAGACTTGGCCTTGCTGCAAAATGGAACATTTTATTCTAGTTGTGCAATCCCAGGCACTTTCTTCCACTCAACACGTCAGGCAAGATGTTAAATTTGTCACCACACAGAGTTTAATTAATTATCTTTTAAAAGCACAATTATTCTTTTAATTTATTTTTCCCATGAAGAAGAAACTTCTGTTGAACTGAATGTCTCATTAAAATAATTTCTGTTGAGGTTCTGCACTTCAGGGAAAAAAGTCTTTAAAAATACCTTGAAGAAAAATAAGCCAAGCAGATATATGTTGAGGGCAAAGAGAATGTTGTTCAAAGCAGAATACACTCTGAATTTGAGCACCATGTAGATTTCATATTTTTTGATATAATAAAAGGGTTTATGGGCTGATAGCTGTCTAAAGAAAGACTTCAGCTAAACACACTGAAAATAATGTTTAGATGTCATATAGGTAGAATTCAGAATATATAAGTATCTGTTCACATGTCTAGTCAAGTCAGTGCTGGGCAATTAGTACAAAGGGATCCTTCACCCACTATAAAGAAAAAAGCCATGTTCTTGAAGGTATATGGCAATTATACAGCAAACATCATTTGCTCATGAAAATCAAAAAGGGTAGAAGTCTGAAAAGCAAATCAGGGAGTCGTGACTACTGAGACCTACAGATCCCATATTACCTGACAAGCAGAATCAAAGTTTTTCATAACCTACTGCTTTTCAGAAAGGTACCCAGCAAAGGCTCATTTTTAATATCCTGACAGTTTGTCTTTCTGAATTCATTGCCAGTCACTATAAGGAAATGTCACGAGCTCAGGTAGCTCCTTTGGAAGTTTGGTCACTGGGCTAGAACTCTACTTCTGATGAGGTGTCAAGCTTATGAAACACCTGGGGTTTTTTAGGTAATAAAACAGCACACACATACTGGTGTGACCTGGACTGACCTCAACATTTGCACTGAAAGCAGCTCACGTAGAAGGTGGCTTGGAAAGCAAACGAGGATGGCAATTTTATAGTACAGTGCAGAGGATATTAATAAAGCCCCTGATGTTAAAAGTACCTTTGAGTATTACCACATCTCAAAAAACAGGGTTCTTCTACCTCCTCTGCTGCTGACTGAAAGTCAGTCTCTGCAATGCCCTTCTGAAGAAACTAAAATTCTTTGTGTCTGAAGAATTTAAAAGTCTTTATGTACTTTTTGACTTGCTCAGTTTCAGCACACAAAGCAACTTCTTTCAGGTTTGATTGGCTACATCCTCACTCTGGAAATTAATTTTCTCACCTTTTATTATAAGCACTCATAACTTCATTAGCTCTACCTGTATGAGATCAACTCATGAAAAAATGCAAGCTTCAGAATATTAACTACATTTCCCACACATTCTTATGGTGTGAAATTACTTCTTGTGCAAGCCTTTATTCAATTAGACATGTAAACGGTGCAGACACCTGTGAAAATCACCTGTCCAGGTGTGAATTTAGCACACAATAAATGCAAACAAATCTCATATCATAGGACAATGTTCTGTAGGACCACATTCTACCTTTGACTTCAAGACAGTAATGTGAAATGCAAACCAACAAAAAACAACTCACAAAAGAAGAGCTAAGGTAGAAATCTCACTAATTTTTAATAGCAATAATCCTACAAGTAGAAAAATTTTGAGTAATTTCCTGAGAAATGAGGGTTTGGGGGAGTTTTTTTAGGTTTTTTTTAGGATTTTTTGGAAGTATGGCTTTGAGGTTTCTTTTTTATTCACTTGACTCATTTACTTGGAAGTGAGTGTTGAAAATTTACACTTCCAAGCTTTTCTCTGAAAACACGAGAACTGGAAATTTGAGTTTTGCATATGAAAACTTCAGATTTTCATATAAAATACAGTGATCCTAAAAGCTGAGAACTGACAGGAAAAAAGTAATCAGAATAATGAGAACTACCAACACTGATTTAAATGACACATGACAAAATATTTTTATCATGCAGATCAAGATCTTTAAATGTTAAAACCCTTCCTATCTTCAGGTGCTGCAACACTAGACCCACAAAAATAGATAAGGAGGAAGCCATCAGAGAAGAAAAACAAGTAATAATGAGCACAAAGTCACAACTATTTGCAGAGCAATGATGAAAACTTGCCTTCACTGATGTCAGTGAGAACTATTCATTGATTTTAGGTTTTTACTCAAGATTTAAATGAGGGAGTTATTTAAATGAAATTAACAGAGGGATACTAGAACAGAATGAAGAGAGCATTGCTTTTAGTAAGGTTCTGATTCTGCATTATGCAGACTCCAATTAGAGTGTCAGCAGGTCCTAAGGCAATTGTCCAGCCTGCACGTGATTTGATGAAACATGAAGATGATCTTGTCTTCTGTATTTTTTTTTCCTAACATCAGTTGAAACAAACAAACAAACAAACAAACAAAAAAAAAAACTCAAAAGCTCAGAGTACTTATCCAAAGATTGGCATAATTAACAAAGGTATTTTAACATTGCATAAAGGTGTGTTGATTTCTCTCTGAAAGTGACTAAATCAAACACACAGGTTTTTTTTGCACTAACTTGATTTTTATAGCACTATAAATTGGGGAATTATTTATTCAGTGTTTTTCTTTTGGAGGAAAAGTTTTCACTGTTTCATTTTAACCTCTCCTTTTTATCAAGAAAGAGATTCAGAAAAAGAGTATTCACAAACTCTACAGCTCTACCTCTAAATCTGATAGTGAATTCCAGTCATTTTTGTAAGAAATGCTATTAAGATTTGGCACTAAGATTCCTCAAGGATGACAAATATTCTTTTAAAGGGTCTACATATCCATTTACTGCATAGCTCTGTCCTAAAAGTGAAAGTCACACTTGGAGTACTGAAGAGTGGGCTATGAAAATGCAAATTAGAATGACTTTACTGGCTCAAATGAATTCAGTTCTGTCACTAAGCACTGTGACTGCAGTAGGCATCCATTAACCAGAAACAAACTATGAGAAACTCTTTTGTGAGACTATCTAGCAGAGGAGCTTTATTTCACGAGCACTTGTCTTGTGAATGTATGTTTATTGCACAGATTTTATCACAGATTCAGTAAAAAGTGTGCATCTTACATGACTCTGGAAAATGTTGTTAAGTTATTCAAGAAGCAATTTGCCAGCACTAGTGTCTGCACAGACACCTACCTTCCTCATGGAACTCAAGAGATCTGGAACAGGCACTATCAGTTTGTTAAGATAAGACTCCAAGGTTTGTTCAAAGCCCAAAGTGACTCTCGAGTCCACACTGCTTAGGGTGAAGGGTAAAATGGTGCTCCCATTTGAAGCCAGAATTGGGATGATTCCCCTCTCCCCAGGCACTGTCCTGCTTGAGAAGCAATCACTTTTCCTGCTTGTCTTCCAGACACATCTGTCCCCTGAATCAGGTCACCAGAGAGCTCTGCCAGTGCCCATGGAATAGTGTGGCTGGAAAAACATGGTCAGGTGCAAGACAGTCACAGTCTGCACCACAATCTGACTAAGCTGCCATGAAACTGTACCCTAAAAATTAAGTTTTTTAATAAAACTTTTACTAACACATCTTCCACGCATCAGAACTTGAGCTAATTTAGAGTTCCCTTGACTTGGGAACCCAGAAAAGCCTTATACAGGCCTGGAAGGAACCTTCTCTGGTGTCACAAGCTGGTAAAACATGGAGCCTCTCTGCTAGTTCACTTCATCCCAGTCATAAATAATCCTTTCTGCATTTCACACTTATGGACACTTATTCTGATGGTCATTTCATAGCTTCCAGAATAAATTAGTTCATGGTCAATTTATAGCCATCTATTCTTATACAAGTCTTGTCTCATAACAATTAACCTTTTTCTTCTCTTAAGTCTTCAATTTGAGGCTAGACAAACCAAGATCTTCCATCACCTCCTATGAGAACACTTCCCTTTGATGATCTTGGTAACCTTTCATAGTGCTTAAGTTTGCACACATCTGGACTTCTTTGTGTAGTTTGCACAAGTATTCTCCAGGGTCTGGTAAATTATACTAATGTTTCCTTAAACACAAAATATGTTCCCTAATGTTTCCTAAAATTACACTTCTCCTTTTTAAAGTCTTGTTGTAGTGATGGATCACAACCATTTCTAAAATTATCTAACACACAAAGAGCTGAAACAATTGACATCAACAGAAATACTGCCTCCATTTGGCCACAGCAATGTTAAGCAGCTGTTGCAAACAGTCAGGATTAACCTTTATGAAATGCAAACAGAGATGCAAACCCTCATGCATTGTTAAATCTATGCCCAGATGGGAACCAACTCTGCTCACCAATGGCAGACATTTCACATCAGTGTCCAAGCTTCATCTTCCTTCTCAATAGATCTGGCTAGCTGGGACTCAGGATTTGTTGATAAAGGATGGCTTCCAGGCTCAAGATGGCTTGTACCCATATAGCTCAGCATACAAGATCAGCTTACTGCTTCATCTACACAGATGTATCAGTCGTTCAGATTCTTGTAATCCCAGCAATAGTTATCATCCTGGGTCATTAATCATAGAACGCTTTGGGTTGGAAGGGACCTTGAGTATCTAGTGACTTCTAATTCCAACACCCCTGCCATAGGAAGGGACATCTTCCACTACACCAGGTTGCTCAAAGCCCTGTCCAGCCTGGCCTTGAACATTTGGACATCCACAACTTCTCTGGGCAAACTGTTCCCAGTGCTTCATCACCCTCATAGCAAAGATTTTCTTCCTCATACCTAACACAAGTCTACAGTCTTTCAATTTAAAGCCATTACCCCTCATCCTGTCCTACATGCCTTTGAAAATAGTCCCTCTCCAGCTTTCCTGTAGGCCCCCTTTAGGTACCAGAAGGCTGCTATAAGGTCTCCTTAGAGCCTTCTCTTCTCCAGGCTGAACACCACCAATCCTCTCAGGCTATCTTCATAGAGAAGATACTCCAGCCCTCTGATTATCTTCATGAGCCTCCTCTGGACTCACTCCAACTGGTCCATGTCCTTATGTTTAGGGCCCCAGAGCTGTAGGCAGTACCTTCAGTGGTGTCTCAGAAGACCATAGCAGAGGGGGAGAATCACCTCCCTCAACCTTCTGGTCACAGCAGCATTTTAATGATTAATAACAGAGGCTAAAATATATTACTTGTGCTCAAAGTAAGCAATAATTTAAATTATTCAACTATTTAACAAGTAAATACCTACCCATCATGATTAATATCACCATTTAACAAAAAGGACTTCTCAGACAAAAGGACAAGTTGGTCTCCAAGGTTATTTTTTTGTTGTTATTTTTAGGCATTATGGAGAAAGTAATCATATTTTGCTGAAACCCATACACCACTGGAATGAGATTACAACTGGTTAGCCTATTTGGAAAAGCTGCATAATAAATTCATTTTACAGGGCACAGAATAATGCAAATGAGCCATTCAAAGGCAATCCTGTACCAGGAAAAGAGGCATAAAGAAGAAACATTGAAAGTCAGAGTTCTGATCTGGTTATGCTGCAAGGTATGGAATTACTGAAACCTAAGCTGCATTACAATAACCTGTTTGAAGATCTGCTTATACCAAGCAGTTTAGTTATTTATCACCTAATGAAATAAACAGGTTGACCCTATTTTCCAGCAGTAATGACTTCATGAAACACTTAAATGAATGAAAATATGGATCTTTAGTTTTAAGGAAAGGAAATGAATTAAGAATGGTTTAAACATATTTATAACCCTTCACCTGCAGTTGCATGGGGCCGAGTCATTATTCCACACAGGAAAACACTGATGTGGCAAAAGCCCAATAGAGAAAAAAATTAAAATCATATTTCTTGCTGCAGATAGTGGGTTTCTTGATAGGATGGCTGGAAACTATAAGGAATATGATGCATGTTTAATTTCCCAACAGTGTGATCGTTATCAAAAAAAAGGTGCAACCTTCCACCTACAGTTTTCTTTATGTTCCACAAAGTTCTCGTATAAAGCAATTATTGCTGCACCACAAACCTGAACTTTGTGTAACACTGAACATCTGTCTTTTGCACTCGTAAGCTAAAACTGAAAATGAGCTTGCTAGAAACAATCTTTCAAAGAACAGCCCAGGTTTGAGTATTATACAAAGTGCTGTTTGCATGAAATCTCTACGAACTTCACACTTACAGCCCAGCCTATGAACTATAATTGAAATTGCTCAGTGGTTTCAAGTGTTATAGGAGGGAATAATGAAAAAAACAGGGTTAAGCAATAAGAGAATAAGGCTTATACAGTCTCAGAAAACCAGAGCAAAACCCCTGTAAGTAATACACAGTATCACACAGGACTCTTTCTACTTCTCCTGTTCCTGGCTCCAGGAAATCAAGAGCTGTATGCCAGTTGTTGTCCTGCTTGGTAAAGCTTAGGGCTGTAATTTCAGGATGTGAAATAAGTCTATAAAATCTCTTTTAGTTAACTAAGAGGACAAACTATTGTTACATCATACACATAGTATGCCTATAGGACAGGGAAATAAGCTTAGAAATCAAAGTATGAAACCAAATGCAAAACAGAAACTTGTAGCCTATATGTTAACTTTAGCCCACGGGACAGAGAAAAGCCTTAAAACAGTGTAGCAAATAAATCAATGGATAGGCTACAGGGAAAAAAAAAATAAAATAAATGTTTTAAGCCTTAATTAGATATACAGACTGAGGTCACTGGAATTGCAGTCAGTTATCCTACACAGCACACCACACAGATATTTTACCTATTTCACCTTTATCTCACAACCCATAGAACAGAAATTCCAAGAAGGAAAAAGGAAGCAGATCAGCTGTTACATGCCTGGGCAACCTTCTTAAGGGACACATTTCTATAGATCTATATGATTTCCCTGGAGAAAATTCATTGAAGTCCTTTTGTGCTCCCCTGTCCCCTATGCTTGCCTCTCAAAATAAAGTGCCAGTATCCCCCAGTTAATCTTGATGGCTGATCAACTGCTGCAGGAAGGAAGAGTTTCTACAGAAAGACAATAACTGATCAACTTTGAAATAACTAGAAGAGAAGGAAGATACTTGAATGAAATGGAGAATAATATATGCAATATACACATTCCTATACTGAACATATATATTTAAATATATGTATGTCTTTAAATTGTTTTAACAGACTTTCTGATAGATGTGTAGGATTTATACTATAATTTAACATTATTTCACACTAGAATTCAATTCTAAAACTGATTATTAAATTTAATGAGTTTTGTATTATTGTTCAATGTTGGTTTTCTAGTGGTTTTACTTTATTTTACTAGAGACTATTAACTGTATCTTATCTAGTTACCATAGGTACTTTTAGTTCACTTAACTGATATGACCCAAGTTGTTCTATCCCTGCTCATTTTACCACTCAAGGTCTTGTGCACTTTTTTGCAGTAGGCAATAATTTTCAAGCTCCTAGAGCAATCCAGAAATAAACAGAACAGGATAAAAATATACCCAGGTCTTTTTTTCAGTGCCAGCTGCTACTTGAGGAGTATTCTTAATGAATTGCAAGAACAGAGTCAAAAATTTAAAAGAACTTGTACTAACTCTTCTGAGTTTAGAGAAAGCGTGCCCCAGGGGAAAGACAGCAAGTAGCTGAATGTTTTTGAGCACATCACAATAAAGCAAAATCTCTAAAGCTTACAGGCTCCCTTGTGTTAACAGTGACATTACATCAAGAATGACCTTTCCAAAGAAATAAAACCCATTAATGCTAGGAACATGATAACTATTAAAGATCAACGCTTAGTAGCCAATGCAAGAGGAAAAAAAGAAACACCAGTCTGGTAAATTAATTAGAACATAAATAATATGAAACCAAGACCTTGGTCTGTAACCCTCTCTCTTGTAATTGCTTGCCATTTAAAGGCTGAATGAAGTCTTTTATGTAAAAGATGCTGCTATTGACCTCACGATGTATTAGGGAAGGCAAAGAAAATCCTGAGAAGATCTCATGAGTACTGGGAAATACCTCAGTAGCACCCAAGCAAATACCTTGTTTCACAGTAAAACTTTCTTTCAACAAACAAGAAAGGGTGCTGCTGGGAAATATTTCAAGTAAACTGTTAAAATTTCAGGGCTTTTTTTGGTTGGTTGTAGAAATAATCAAAGAAAGCTATCTGTATGCATATAAATGTAATAGTTATATAATTTTTTCTTACGTGAAGGGGCAGCTGTCAGTCCTGGGGCACAAGGATATACGTATGGTTCTACTGCAGAAACTCCACTGTGAAACAGCTACAAAAAACTAACATTTGCTTTTGAAATCCATAGTTTAGACCAAGTTAGGTTTCTGCAGTGGTTAGAAAACTCAATGTTATTATTGTAGCCTCCTCACTCAACACTGCAGACAGCACTTTCAGTACATTTATCAGCTCTGTAATTATCTGTATTTGCCAAGTCTATCATTGCTCCACCTGAGACTCAACAGATACACATGAAAGGTTGTGAAAAACACAAATCTCTGCCTTGGATCTTGCTTTTGCAGACTGTATCTACATCTGAACAAGAATATTATCACCGAAGTAGTTGAGAGAGGTCAGAACCACAACATTGGTTAGGAATTCCTGGACAGAAAGCATGTAAGGACATGTTTGTGCATCTCACTCCACTGGTCAGGTCAAAAGATCTAACGATTTACAAGGAATCACATGGAAAAGACAAGAGGGAATGGGTACAAGGTACTCCTGGGAAGACTTCAATTTGACAAAAAAGGAAAATTTTTTACAACAAGGACAAATCAGCCACTGGAAGTCTCCCCAGGGAAGTTGTGAACTCCCTAACATTGGGTACACATAAGATTCAGCTGGACAGGGTGTTGGGCCATCTTAACCAGGCCATGCTTTTACCAGGAAGGGTTGGACTGGTTGATCCTTGAGACCCCTTCCTGCCTGCTAGTCTTTGATTCTATGATAACTCAGATTTGGAGGATCTGAAGAAGTCTGTTTTGTAATCAGAGAGACTAAAGAATTCCAGTGTTCAAGCCATTTTCTTTATAGGGGTATATTTTATGCTTATTTTGCCTGAGCTACACAGAATAATGAAAGTACAGAGAATTCCTACACCAGGATATATGGAATCATGGATTGCTCTATGATAACAGAATATCTTACCATTGCTATTTGTAACAGAGGTGAATTTAATTTTTCACAAGTTTATACAATCAAGTTTTTGGTTAATTTTGGCTAAGTAAAGCTGTTTGAATTGTACATAAAAATAAGAAATCTTAAAGAAAAGGATTCAAGTCTCAAATAACTTAAAGGCCTTTTTCCTTTTTCATATCAATTTATATTTACTGGAGCACTTTTTTTTGGAAGTGATTGGGGTTCTGTGCTTGCACAGTGTAAAGCAATTTAAAAATATTCAGCTGCTTCAATTTTTTATAGGTAGTTTTATTTGAAAATGATTGAGGTTCTGATCATGCTCAGCATTGAACAGCTTTAAATTATTTAAATACCTTTTTTTAATCAATGCTTCATGTTTAGGACTGAATTCTGGGAGGCTACAGTACATTATCAGACAGTTTAAATTATACAAGAATTTTATATTTTACACAATCTTTCATCTCCTAAATAAGAATCAGTTTGCAAGGGTGAAAGCATAAAGCATTACACTTCAGAATAAATCAGCATTATGCAAAATCTCAAATGTAATTTTTCTTTTTTAAATATTGTAAGAGACACTTTTTCTGTAATAAAATTTGTGTCTTACTACGTTCTATGATACACAAGCATTTCAGAAGCTACACATTTCCATTTTGCCAAACTGAAATAAATAATTTCAAAGGAGAGTAAAGTCTAAAATAAGTTTTTGGAGTCCATGAAAAATGAGAAGAATTTATTCCCACAGCACCTGACAAAGTTCATGTCAAGCAAGCAAGTCCTCTGTAGCGTGGATACAGTGTGCTCAACAGCTTCTTGTTCAAGTTCATTGTAAACACTAAGCATATCAAGCAGCAAATTCAGGTTAGACTTCAGGGACATCATTCCTGAAGTAACAGGGCTGACATTCAGAAAGGGGTTTGGGATTTTGTTGTTGTTTTGGGGTACTGTTTGACTTTTTAATTATTTAATGGAGTTATTGTCAACACTCCAGAACGTGCTCTGCTCCTTAGCACTTCCATATGAAAAGAGAGGAAAATTAAGGTGTAATATTGGAAGAGAGGATTGGAGATGTACAAATGGAGAACTGAGACATATGCCTGCTAGTTCACATGATCAGTGAATGCTCCACTTTGCTCTTACCTGGTATCCTGCATTAACGCTCTGCCAATACACTGGCATTTACTCCCAAACAAAAACTCTTAGGAAGTATTTTTGTACTTTGCACCACCATATTCACATATGAATGTTATCTAACCTCAGGTTTAAAATGTGACATCATGGAAAGAAAAAGATTAAAAGATTAGTGACTAATTTCTTCAAAAGGCTTGTCTTCATTTTTCACCTTTTGCTTTTTAACACAAATGGCACAGACGAAATAGGATAATATCTCACCAAGAAAAACAACCCAGTGTGCCTCTGCACACTCATTTGAAAAGACAGTAGCTAGCCCTTAAAGGTATTGGCAAGTCTTACTAATCATAGGCTTTTAATTCTGTCTCTCCAGTTTCAATTAGTGAGTAAACACTGACATCCTCAATTGCACTGAATAGAGCTCCCCTTTATCCACTTAATCACATTCACTGCAGCTATTCCCCAGGCTGAGGTCTCAGAATTCCTAGCTTCTGTAAATCCTGGGTATTACATCTTTTGATTCAGAAACAAAAATACTAACATATCTTATCATTCAGAAACACGTGTCCTGGGCTCAGGAAGGACTATGTTTTCCTCTCTCCCACTAGTCAGCTGCTCTGCTCCATTGTACAGAATTAAGTTGCAAAGCATCGCTATACTCATCTGAAATACTTTGCTTAAGTTAAACATCATATTTTATTAATTAAAGAAGCTGTAAGAAACCATAATTAGACTAAGTGTCCAACAAATATTAATCAGTAAAGTAATATTCTATTATTAAGAAGCAACTATTCACAGCAGGAGTTTCTCTTGCGAGAAACAAGATTAGGAGCCGAGCCAAAAGAAAACCAGAAGGCACAGCTAACTGGGTCATTTGGTGCCTCATTTTAATTTATTAATTCTTTCAGCCAGTATTTTACTTGTTTTGTATTGCAAATTTATTGGAGAAGGTGTAAGTAGTCTCCAGGCTGCCATCCTATATCTGTTGGTTAGCTCCCCTGTTCCCAGTCACTGCAATAAGGATTTCCCTTCCTTGATTTTAATCCAAACCAAGAAACAAAATCAGACTGCACACCCTGGGCAAACCACTTAACCTCCTTGTGTTCCCCCATTTGCAAATGAAAACCATAAATTTAACATACATAGCAGGGAGGCTCTGTGACTTAAGTGTTTAAGAGATTTGAAATCTTATATAAGATGCATAGTACCAACATTTGCTAGCAAATGTTGCTTGTCTAAGACACCATCAATAACTGTTCCAAGTGTACAAGCACTAGGATCATGTAAAAAGCATCCAAGTTTCCAAATGCTGGGCCTGATTTGGCTTCTTATTTCCTCATTACACACTCTCCCTGCATATCAGTTAAAAACTAATGATAGCAGACTCATACCAACTCTCCTTTGCTGAGATCAGTTTTGGAGCTTTCCTGTTCTAACTCTATTTCTCTGCAGTGGAAAAATACTGAGACTCAGACTAGAATTTAACGCAAAAAAGCATCAGGGGTTTAATGTAAGATACTGCTATTTTTCAGTAAAAAATTCTTTCTAAATTACCCTATCAAATAGAGATGCACAACAGTGCAAGACTGCAGATTTATTTGGTGGAGGAATCTCTAATGCAATGACTTATAAGAAAACAAGTATCTATCAAGTATCTACCAAATATCCATTCTTTCCACTTCTGAGTTATTTCACACAGACTCTGATGAAGCAATGAACTGTGCAAATCATTGAGTTTTTCCACTGCAGTCCAGAAGAATATTTTTTTAAATATGTTAAATCACAGATGATTGCTACCTGAGCTGTTACAAACTAGATACAGCTTAGATGAATTTTCAATTTTAACATCTATTAATTGTATCTATATACACCAGTCACTTCCTCATGTATTGCTCTTATGTGTGTTCATTACCCCTAAAGAGAGAAGCTTTCTTCAGGGAGCAGAAGGAAGATTTAAAAATTTGAAACTCTGAATTGAATTTTGTTTTCTAATTAGGCTAAATAGGTGTATTTCTATAGAGATATTCAAGGCAAACATCCAGGCATTATGAACTTTTCAGCACCATTGACAATTATAACCAAACCCAACTTTTAATTCTGTAGTTTTCAGCACTGACAAAAGGTTCTTTCTGTACTACAGAAAAAGGGACAAGCAAACCAATCATACCATCCAGTTTCCAGAATTGCCTTTTATACCTGAGGAAATACAACTCTTCAATGAGAAGAATCATTCCAGTAAGTTTGTGTATTCTACAGTGTTACCTTTTTCTCTTTTGTACTCATTAGTGCTGTGACAACAGCAAAGACTTCATTAGTAACTAATAAAATCAATATTAATACACAAAACTGAATAATAAAGCTTGTGTAAGAGGTTTATGCTCAATGTAATATTAGGTTTCAAATCCATACAGGGCATAATCTAAAAATTCTAATTTAAAGTAGTGATCTACACTGCAAAAGACAACAGCAATTTTGAAAAACAAATCCATAATGTAAATGAGACAGTTGTGTTAGCTTCTGCCAACAACAGAATTACAATCCTTTGTTGTATCCATTGGCCACAGAAATAAAGCAAAGTAGCAACAGGAAGAGACATTACATGGAGTAGATGGAGAAAGAAAATCTTTGATCAGAAGTTAAGGAAACCACTCATTTCATTATTTCCCAGAAATCCAACACCTGAAATCCAGTAGAATAGGCACCATTGATTTTGTAATAGGTATCTAACAGTAGAAAATTCCCTGAAAAGCAGGAAGTTGCTGTTATGGTTTATTCCCATGTAGTAATACAAGAAGTACTTGGAGCTTTTGGGTTCTTCTTAATCAACTGGTAAAAAAGTAGAGCAAGAACCTAGTGAAAGTCAATTAGCCCAAGGGGGAAAGAACTTGAAGGAGAAACGCAGAGTGAGGACAAAAACCCCATGTTTGCTCTGAAGGCTCCCAGATGTTACACAAAAAGGGGTTCTGTTGTTTGTTCAGCACCCCCAAATAGCTCACAGACCACACGTTAGACTACACGCTTTTGTATCCAACATAAACACTTCAGTGGGCTTTGGCATGTAGTTTATTCCACTAACATAGCCCATATTGTTTCCATGCTCACCAAAAACTGTTAAAAGAGGGTAAGGAAGAAGGAATAACTGCTCTTTTCTCATAGTTTGCTCAAGTCAGCTTAGCAGATAGACAATTCTGCCAATCTACAAGGGCAAATTCCTAACTCCTCCTGAAAGTCTCATTTGTGTCTGAGCCAGAATCCCATCCCACTTATTTTTATTTAAACTCCATGCCTTTTCACTTGGCAATTTACTTCTTGTCATTAGCTAGCTTCTATGTCCTAGATTTGATTTCTCTCTTTTTTGGCTTTCGTTTCTGCTCCCTTATCCTATATCCCAGAGGCTGCCAGGATTATTGGACAGTTGAAAGGGGCACATGTTCATTAATTCCCTTCACAGCGACGACAAAGACAAGAGCATCCATTTCACTCTAAGCAGTGGTCAGCTGCCAGCTATAAAAATGCAGGTGGTCTGTGTGCTCATGGTAAGTAGCTTCAGAGAGGATTTCGTACAAATACATGCACTGCCACATTTAACTCCAGCTTCCACTGGAAATTGCACCACAGCTGAATGACTACAACAAGACTAATAAACTTCATAACCTTTCTACCCCCAACACTATTAACTCATTCTACAGCTTAGTGCAGCAACACATTAAGACTAGAAATTATTAGCTTAGTTAACTCATTAGTAGACACCCATTTTCAACTAAGTTGAAGGATAAATGAAGCAAGAAATCAGTAAGTTAAAAGGTCTGTCTTTAGTTAAGATATCAAGGGAAAAATTTTGTCAGGGAGAAAGTGTCTACTGAATAATTAATATCTGCCTTTCTGCCTGTGAAAAGCCTGGGGAACAAACAATAAAGTCAATATCTTTAAGGTAGGTCACTATTAAAGCATTACAACAGGAGAGCAGAAGACCATCTGAGACTAGCAAAGATTAAATTAGGACCAGAAATGTTATTAAACTGTTGTTTAGGGTTTTGGTTTGTTTTGTTGTTTGTTTTTTTTTGTTTTTTTTTCCCTAGAGCAAGAATGGAGACTCCACAATAAGACTTCACAAAGCAGAAATTAAATAAAACTATCCAATTCTGTTAATGTTAATGACATTTGTTGTCCTCCATGATGCATAACTGAAGTGTGATTTTTCTCCCCTTTCCTCTGGGTAACATTACTGGATTAGGGGGTACACCAGAACAGCAAAACACACCTTTTGTTTTTTTAATTTAGAAGCGTGTGGGGAAAAAAAACAACAACACAACACTGCTCTAAAGTATTGAATCATTTTGTTTTACCTCTTTTGAACAAAATGAGCAGTTAAAAGGCTCCTAAATCAGATTGTTTCATTTTTAAGAAGCCAAATTTTATCACTTCATTTACATTAGCTTAACATTATACTTCAAATTCTGCTGTATGGTTTGGAAGCCAGTAATTTTCTCTCTTGTCTTGTATGATAGGGTCTCTGTCTGAATGACATCTTTCTTTTTATTCTTGTCATTATTTAAAACCACTTCACTATATCATTATAGCAGCAATTAACACCTTCATTAGTTGAGCACAGTGTTCTATAGACATATCAAGCTGGCACAAGCAACAATAGAAGATGTTAGGGAGGCATCCCAACTCAGGTTGAATAGCTGTTGAGAAGGACAATGACGCTCTAGCCCGCAAGCAAGATTGCACAAAGGGAACAGATT